CATCCATACCCTTCGGGACCAAATCTTGAAGCTGTCCTCAATTACCATACTCACTAATAGGTTCGTAATCATCAGACAATATCACGTCGAACTCATCATTATTATTCAGATCCTCATTCATAGCCTTCACTGCAGAATCCTCTAAGGGTTTCTCTACATGGATCATATCATTCATCATATCCATTAACGTGGTCATTTGTTCTTTTGAATCAGCTTGGATCTTTTTTGCGTGATTAGTCATTTCTTGTTGAGTCTTAATAAGTTGCTCTTGTAGTTTCTCGATTCTACTGACCCTTGCTAAGATCTCATTCATGGATCTTATTTTTTTTTAGGAAGACCAAGTTAGCTCCACTTTGATTTAAAAAAATCTGTCATGTAATCCTCCACGAATTATTCCCATATTGTAAAATAATTTGAAACAAAATGTAATTATGCCAAGATGCAAATGTAAAAATGAAATTGTAAATACAAACGTAAAAATGCAAGGATGCAAATGTGAATATGTGAATGTAACAATAAGAATGTAACTTGTGCAATACAAAAGCAAACATAAAAGTATAAATACAAAACGAAAATGAAAAGATGTGAAATGCAAATGCATGTATGAAAAGGTGTTACTCAAGAGTGATCATCTTAGAACAGATTTCATTGAACACAAAAGTTTCCGTGCATCAAACAAAACCTTTACATATAGGGGATGGCTTTTACTCCTAATTTCTCTATCTCTCTTAAAAGCCAAATTAACTTCCACTCATGTTCAGGTGTGGAGTTATCCATCTGCTTTAATTCTCTAGCGAAGCCAACTAAGTTCACCGGCTTATGAGCCACATTGCTTGCTTGAGCAACAACTTCCTTCGTGACATTGTCTTTTTCCTTCATATTCTGTGTCAATTCTCAGCGTTGCTCATTTTGTAAGAGACCCTTTGTGTCCAAGAAGTTCTTGTACAAGATCTCTATACTCATCTGAACATTTCTCCAACGTCTTGTTTCTGGTCTTAGTGACTTCTAATTCAGTATCGATCTCAAGCTGATGGATCTGATATGATGCTTCCATGTTGGTCATAGCCATATTTAACCTTTGATTTTCGACTTGACATCTTTTTAATTCACTGACAGATGTATTGTGTCTTTTTTTCTGCAACTCGTAAATCATAAGAAAACTTCTTGGCTCGTCCTTCATGTATGTTACAGTTCTTTTTCAGTTTGGTGACCCCTGTTATCCACTCTTCTGGGGTGTTTCCTAGGCCAGTTATTTGAAAGGCTTGACTGACCTTTTGGAAATCTTCATGCATGGTTTCCATTTTGGTGCTCAATTTATCGTTTGCAATCTTTAGATGACGTATTTGAGCCTCAGACCTCAGCAAATTTTCTTCTTTCTGGGTGCCCTTACTGATACTCTTACCTTTGAAGACTTTTGGTATTAATCTAGCAGGACCTTCAATTACCAATCTAGGTCGATTAATTATCACAAATTGTAAGGTTCCATGATCCAGAAGACTTTGTACTCGACGTTTGAAGGAAAGACAATATTCGATGGTATGTCCTTGAGCTCCAGCATGATATTCACAATAAAAGTTAATGTCATACCAATTCGGATACGGAGGTTGGAACGGTTTTATGTAGTACGGGGCCACTTCTTGCGCTTCAAGTAGCTTTTCATATAACTCCTTATATGATATAGGGATAGCATCAAAATAAGAACCGCCTTTTGTCTTGGATTAAACCTGAGTTTTAGACGTCGGGAGCAGACTAAACTTTGACGACTTCAGATTACATGATTTCTTCTCATCTCTGGGAGTTTTTTTTACAGTTGTCACCATTTCCTGGGTATCTCCAGATATCTTGTGAATACAAATGACGACTGTCTCTATTTGTGCCGGAATCTCTTTTCCTTTGGTCAAAACAGATATTCTTTCCATCATCTTGGACATCTGCTCTCTTATTTCTCGTATCTCCTTTTGCTCTTTAATGGGCATACAATCTTTGGGTGCCTAGCTCTCCTCTATCCTCGGAGTTCCCTCAGGATGCCATTCCACGGTTGTGTCATATTTTGTTCGATCATAAAACTTTTTGTCCATTTATGATTTCTTTCCAATTTGATGAACAGTCTTTCCAGTTAACACCTTTTGGTTATGCCAGGATCATGCAATGCAACCAAAAGAAAACAATATAAACAAATTAGAGCAAAAAAAACTTTGTAATGGGAAAATAAGAAAAATTAAAATGGTTAGTACCAACTAATTGAAAGAAAAAAATTTATTTATCATGGTATATAATAAATCCTAACCTCATGCTTTCTAGTTTCATGTTTTGTTTGGAAAAATTAACCTAACCGCATGATTTCTAGTTCGCAGGCATTTATTCAGAAAAAGGAAAAAATTAAATAAATCAAAAGGCAAAAAGTTAGAACTTATTTCTCCTTTGTGTATACCTATAAACAGAGGTTCAGTACTGTCTTAGATCAGGTGAATTTCTAGGGTTTATTATATGCAGAGTTTCAGTTCTAGGAGTAAAGGTACTCGAATTGTCCTTGTTGATGCCCCTTTGGGCTGCCAACCCTCAATCCTAGTCCACTACAGACTTAAGCAGACCGAGTTCAATTCGAGGGGACACATTTCTTTATGTCTGACACGGAGAATAAATTCTCACGAAGACATAGAGCATATGAACCCCGAATGCTACTTGCTAGGTCTGACACGGAGAATAAATTCTCACGAAGACGTCACTTTCACTCCCACTTAAAAGGGACAAATCTCAGTTATAGAGATTATGTTTATGCAATGCATGTGTTGTGTGTGAGGATAAATGTTCAAACCTCTGACAGATAAATAATGAAATAAAATACTTGAAAAATAAAATGAAACATTAATAAAATAATATACATATAAATATTATGAAAATAATACGTATATATAAAAATTTTGAAAAGAAAGAATTAAAAATTAAATATATGAATTTTTAATTTTTAATTAATAGAGACAATTTATAATTGATTTTAAAGTTTGCCCAACTCCCAAACGGAGTCGCCAAGCTGTCGTAATTGGTTTTTACCCGGGTACAAATTTTACTTAGTTGGAAAAAGTAATGTGGATAAAAAATGGTGTTTTAGAAATATTTTGAAGTCGCCATTGACATTTTTGGGTTAGGTAAGTCAAATACCTAAAAATAATCTTTTAAAATAGTTTTTAAGAAAACATAATTTAAACTAATCTGCGTATAAACCAAAAATTCGTTCTTTTTTATAATAAAAAAGGGATTCATGGTCGATTACGTTTGGGGAATGATTAGCACCCCCACAATGCCCAAAATTGGTACTTCATTAATTATAATTTGTCTCTATTATTGAAAATTTAAAAATTCAAAAATATATTTAATTATTAATCATGTTATTTCAAATTTATTTTAAGAAAATATATTAATATATATATATATATATATATATATATATATATATTTTTTTATAAATAAGATATTTATTTACTTAGAAATATCATAAAGGGACTTCTAGGTGCTTTAAGATATCTCTTTTCTTCGATGTTAAAAGTAAATAAATATTAATAAAAACATTTCTATAAAAATAATTAAAATAAAATAATATATATATATAAATAGGATATTTATTTATTTAAGAATATTAGAAAATGACTTCTAGGTGCTTTACGACAACTCTTTTCTTCTATATTAATAAATAAAATAAATATTAAAAATGTTTCTTAAAAATTAATATATATTTTATATGATAAAAAATATTAGAAAACGGACTTCTAGGTGCTTTAAGACAGTCCTTTTCTTTAATATTATTAGAATTTATTATTATAAAAATAAAAAATAAATTAATAAATAAATAAATATTATTTATTATATGTATATGTTTATAATAATAATAATAATAATAATATATTGCAAATAAACATATAAAATTAAATCAACAACTAAAATAAATGAGATTAAAACTATATAATAAAAGCTAATAATTTTAAAGTCAATGACTAAATTAAAATGTATTAAAAATAAATATCTAATTCGTAATTAATTTATTAAAATTTTAGTGTATGATTATGCTATTTTACATATTTATTAATTTGGTGACTAAATTAAAACTATATTAAATTCGAAAATTAAATTAAAACAAGTTAAAACATGCTTTCTGGATTAAAATATTAATTATTAAAATTAAAGGACTAAATCTGTCATTTACCTAAAATATATATAAAAGCATAGCAAGGACTAAATTATAAATAGCCTCCTAAATTAGAGGGATTATTTCGTATTTTCCCTATTTTAAGTGAATAAAGTAATGAACTCTTAAAGCCTAGGGACCTGACGTGTAGTTTACCCAAACATTTTATAAACTTAAAACTCATCTTCTTCCTCTCATTTTTCAGACGGCAGAACACCCAAAGCTTTCAACTCTTCTCTTTTCTGTTTTTTTTATTTAATTAACTTACTTTTTTTTCCGAAAATAAATAAATAAATAAAATATAATGCTGAAAAAATGAATCAAATGTAAAAATAACTTTTGTAATGCTTTTTCCTTTTCAATTTGCTGTGTATTTACTCCTCCTCCTCCTCTTTTTTTTTTTGAATTGTTCTCGGGTTTTTATAGTCCCAATTTACATGTGAAAAGAAATAAAATATTATCTTTTGTTTTGTGATGATGAATTGATTCAGGACGTGGAGCATTGGTGGTCGTGGGTGTGGCGGCTGAGCTATAACAAGGAGAGACAGTTGGTGAGGTGTTGGACGGTTGTCGTTGTTGGAGAGTTGCTGAAACGTGGAGGGGGCAGCTGGCTTCTGGAGCTGCTGGAATGTGCTGGAATGTGCAACGTGGAGGGGCTGCTGGAATGGAGAGGTAAAAATGGTGATTACACACAACAAATCCAATAAGAAGTTAAATCAAAATTTGAATAATAAGTACCTAAGAACAAACATACTAAGAAGTTGAGAAATTTTTGAAGAAATTTGCGGACATACAGGGACATGGGAGTCTCTGGCATTCCTCATGGGATCAGTTGCCGAGAAAACAGTGTAGACAAGAACAAAGGTGCCGATGATTTCAGCTCCCAAACCAGTTCCAGTGCTGTATCCATCTGCAAGGCTGTTGGCTCCTCCTCCATACTGATTGTAATATGATTTTTTGGAATGCCTTCACCAGACCACACACAAATGGCACCCTGGCATTGAGCCGCCATGTAAAGTATGGCTCGAACCATTGACACTTTCCTAGCCAAGAAAAGCCCGAATGTCACTCCTGGGTTAATGTGTCCTCCTGCATACATATAATTGACCTAAACCAGTTAGAAACATAGGGAAAAAAACACATACCCCTCTCATCAAACACATGGTGATGTGAAGAGTTATGAAACTTACCAGAGATACCAGCGGTGCAGTAAACAAGGATAAAGATCATGCCACCGAAAGCCCAACCGATGCCGAGAATGCCAACGCCGCCACAATCGTCACCGCCCTTGGTGGAGTCGACCTGGCTCTTGTATCCGATCACCGTCAAGACGGTGATGTACAGAAACAAGAGCGTGGCGATGAACTCAGCTATGACGGCTCTATATAATGACCACTTTGTTAACTCCTCGGCGTCCACCAATGGAGCCGGTGGTGAATCATGGTAGTCCTTGGCTTGGAACTCGCCACCAACCTCAATGTCCTATGTCCTTACCCATACTTTCTCAGGACATTCAAATGCCAAAGTAACCGAAAAGATGATTGGAATTTTAAAGAGACGAGAAGAAATTTTATTTGTTTGTGATCGGAAGTATTGAGAAGTGGAGAAGATGTGTTTATGTATACTCGGTGAGTGTGTGTTAATTGAACATATCACTGTGCCGCCCCATAGGTTTATTATATTGTCGGAGACCCCACCATGAGCCACCACTGTTTTGTAATTGTTCATGGACTTTGATTCTTCGTCTCCCTCGTTGTTTCTAGTCGTTTCTATTTCCTTTTATAGTTTTTATATTTAAAATTTCTTTTATTATATTTATACGTTTTTTTAACTATTTAAAAATTCCTTTTATAGTTACATCACTCTATAACAGATTCGATCAATCTCACTTCAAAGGCTTTAGATAATCGATCCCACAACCTTGCTAAGTGATGAGGTTTTGAATGACAAGGAAAATCGATTATCTTATTCGTGAATTTGATCAACTATTTCAAAAGTACATAACAAAATGCTTCCTAAGATGAAATTAAACTACATAATTAGAACACCAAACATAAATGAAAGGATAATATAACAAGAGATACTATCAACTACACTTGTTTAAAGGTCCACTTATCTATTCAAATTTTAAAATTCCTCCAAAATTTAATCTCACTTTAAACATTGACCAAACTCCAATATTTATGGCCTCAGCCCGATGGGTCCAGCTCGACCATTTTATAAATTTATACTATTATATTATATTATATTATATTTTAAATATATGTGCAACATCTTTAAACTCAGTTTATTATCTTTTAACTTTTGATGATTGAAAAATATTTTTTCGGTGTTTAGTTTGAAATTTAGAATCTTTATTCTAGATTAAAAATTAAATTCAAATAATTTAGAATTGAAAAGAATCAAGCCTAATTTGAATAAAGGACCAAAATGCAAACTTTTATAAGTTAGAAGTTAAGGATTTAATTGAATTTAAGCTTGTAAATTTAAGTGATTAGTTGACATATCAAAAACTTAGAGATGAATTCGGTGACGGTTCTTTTCATCCCATGCCACCAATAATATTCACGAAGACCTATGTACATCTTAATTGATTCATGGTGAACTGATAAAGAACTACAATGAGCTTCATAAAAAATATCATATTTCAATTTTGAGTTAATAGGTATATACATTTGATTTTAAAAATATTGAAGTCCTTTTGATTTGAAAGAGAATTCAGAATCAGAGTTATTGTCAATTCGATCAAAAATACATTTTAATTTAGTGTCACGGGGTTAAAGATCCTTAATCCTCGAAATAAAAGTAGAATGAGCTCTGATTTCAGCGAAAAGGCTTCCATTCTTATAAACATGGAGATGAGCATCCATAGCTTTATGAGCACGAAAGGATTTACGACCGAGTGTATAGACTACAATTTTTGTAATATGTTTTTGTGTATAATTAATATATTAAGAGAAACCTGCAGTTGAGGACCAAAAAGATAACAATAAGAGATTAAATATTCATTACGTTCTTTCATTGGAAGACCATATGTACAAAACAACGAAAGAAGGAATGCATAATAATCTAAACTACATTGTTGCTTTAAGAAGTACTTAGCTTCCACCCCTCCTTTCAAATCTTGATAGATTTTCACCACATTCCGTAGAGTGGGTGGAGGGATTTGATGCATCTTCACCATATTCCTCGCAAGCGTCTTCGACTATGGTCTCCAAAAGGGGAGAATTGGAAGGCTTAAGAGGGTAAATAATAGGAGGTGGAGGCGTTGTCATCCATGAACATATCTTTAAACATCCCTGGGCCATTATGGTAAAAAGAGGAGGTACTTTTATGGAATCTTTAATTGACGATGAACAAAGGGTTTCTCTCTTCTTCCTTGATCCCGTGGAAGAAGAGAGATGAATAAACGCTGAGACTTCAATTGCGATGAATGTCGAGAATGAAGGAAAGTGGTTAAATAGAGGGGGATGACTAAAAATATCAGGAGACAGAGAGGGCAATTCATGGCGCACCGTCATCCATGTGTTTATTATTAGACACCCTTTCATTAGGAAGGTTCTACAAATTATGATTCATCCCAAAATTGGACCACTTAAGAGGCCATGCGTTGTCTTACGAAATTTAAGTGCTGAATCAGAGCCCTTCAGGTGTCCACGATCGGGGCGGGTTGAATTGGTATGATTTAACGTGTCCTTTTACTCATATATATCGTACAATTGGATCCTTGTATGTACACGATTACTCCAAATTCATTCAGCACAGCGGTTTGCATATTCAGCATTGAAACCCTGGATTGGTCGAGAGCGGCTACTCTCCCAAAGAACGTGTTGGTTCAGCCAACACAGGTCACGAGGATACTCTAATTCCATATTAGAAATGATCAACTTCAAATCCTTAGCTATTCTATTGGCCATAAACAAATTCATGAAAATACACCATCCATGCCATAAATACCATTCCGATCATTAAAATGGCAATAAACCCTAAGTTTTTGGGCCATAAATGCCTTGATGACCAAAGCAGTGGCGGAGGAAACCAACAAGACTTTGGCTTGTCGGTGACGTGTAAATCATTCCAGTTCTCTGTGATTTAGTTTGACATTTGGGCCCAGGGAACTGGCAACTCCGACTTATCCTTCAGTCACTCAAGACGTACTCAAATCAATGATGGATCTTAACATTCAAATTTGGGATGTTAATTACATATTAGGATAAAATATATTAAGAAACACTAAGATATATTAAAATAATTATTTTTAGTTATTGAAGTATAGGAATTATAAAATTATTAAATCATTTTAAAATTATCATTACTTTTGTCGTCACCATTTTTCGCCCGGGTGGGAAAAAACTTGTATGACTTAGAAGTTTTTCTTTGAAAATATTTTGAAATGTGAGGAGTTTTCACCAATCATTTTAAGGTGCGATCGGGACACATAAAAATCGGGTAATTTTAATAAAACATTTTTATTTTATCAAAATATCAAGTTTATGGTATACGAAAACCAAAAAACGGGTTCGGGAGTCAGTTATGTTGGTTTTTGGCAAAGTCCCACATTGGTTGTGTATAAGGAGGAGGGGAAATTCTTTTGTTATAAATAAAGTCATCCTCCTCCTTAGTTAATCATCCCACAAATATAAGCATTCTTCTACATTAAAGGCTATTTGTATTCTTTCTCTCTCTTTGTAATATTTCCTCTATTAGTGAAATATTATTTTAGTAGTGTTCAAGGAGGTAGGCATAATTTTGGCCTAACCTCGTTAAATTTTGGTGTTCTCTTTTATGTTTATTTAATAGCTATTGTCGGGTATAGTTGTTGTTAATTATTGTCCTATTAAAATTACTTGTCTTGGTAGTTCTGTCTAAGGAAAGTGGGTTTTAAGAGGGACCATTGTGACCCCTTCTCTTTCCTGGGAATCTACGTTGGTGTGATTTTTAGTACAATCGTTTTCACACTAGTCACCTAGATAATAGTTTTCAAGGTGAATTTGTTATTATTGGTGGAAATTAACCCGAATTCCACAACAATTGGTATCATTGCTCTTGGTTTATTTTAGTATGCTCTGTGGTTGCGGCTTAGGCTGATCTTCCACATCAGAAAAAATATCCTTGGGATAATTGGCATTCCGCATTGACAGCTATTAAATAGAATTTGTAGCAGAAATGGCAGACACAACAAAAACATCCACATCGTCGTCAACAGCTGTGACAAATGTTAGATTTGCAGTAGAGATTTTTTATGGCACCGGTCATTTCGGCATGTGGCAAAGTGAGGTTCTAGATGCCCTATTTCAGCAGGGTCTAGACATTATTATTGAAGGAAAGAAACCAGAAGATGTTGAGGAGAAAGAATGGAAGAGGATCAATAGATTGGCATGTGGTACTATTCGATCGTGTCTTTTTAGAGAGCAGAAGTATGCATTTTCTAAAGAAACGTCTGCAAGTAAATTGTGGAAGGCACTGGAGGAGAAATTTTTGAAGAAAAGCAGTCAGAACAAGCTCTACATGAAAAAGAGATTGTTCCGCTTCAACTATGTACCAGGTACCACTATGAATGATCACATTACTAGCTTTAATCAGCTGGTGACTGATCTGATGAATATGGACGTGACTTTTGAAGACAAAGATCTGGCTCTGATGTTGATGGGATCAATTCCTGATGAGTTTGAGTATCTTGAAACTACTCTACTTCATGGGAAATTTGATGTGTCTCTTAGTAAAGTAACTGTTGCCTTGTATAGTTATAAATTGAGAAAGAAAGACAAACAAGAAAACACAAGTGTCGAAGCAGAAATTTTTGTTGTTAGAGGCCGTTCGAAGAGTCAGAATAAAGGAAGGAGAGGGAGATCGAAGTCAAAGTCCAGATTGAGCAAAGATGAATGTGCCTTTTGTCAAGAAAAAGGGCACTGGAAGAAAGAATGTCCCAAGCTAAAGAACAAAGGCAAACCTGAAAGGGGAAAGGATGTCTCAGAATCAAATGTGGTCGAGTATGATGATGCAGATTTAGATTTCGCATTCGCTGCTACGCCATCAACCAGCTGTTCCAGTTCATGGCTGTTAGATTCAGCTTGTAGCCACCATATGACCCCCAATAGAGAATGGTTCTTTGATTTTAAAGAACTAAAAGGTGGAATTGTCTACACAACAAATAATTCCCCTCTTGACACACTTGGGATTGGTTCAATTCGCTTGAGGAATCAGGATGGATCAATCAGAACCTTAACAGGTGTCCATTAAGTACCAGATTTAATGAGAAATCTCATCTCTGTGGGAACCTTAGAGTCAAAAGGTTTAGAAGTGAGGGTAAAAGATGGGATTATGAGGATTATCTCTGGTGCACTGGTGATAATGAAGGGAATCCGAAAAAGAAACAATGTGTATTACTTTCTGGGTAGTATAATTGTTGGGACAGCAGCAGTGACAGTTTCTACTGATAAACATGAGTCAGAAGCAACCAGGTTATGGCATATGCGCTTGGGGCATGTTGGTGAAAAATCCTTGAAATTACTCATAGATCAAGGATTATTGAAGGGTGCTCGGACTTGCAAATTAGCTTTTTATGAGCATTGCATCAAAGGGAAGAAGACGAGGGTGAAATTTGGAACAGCAATCCATGATACTAAAGGTATTTTGGATTATGTTCATTCAGATGTATGGAGGCCTTCCAAGACAACTTCATTGGGAGGAACACACTATTATGTCACATTTGTTGATGATTTTTCCCG